CATGTTTTGTTCATGTTCATGTTCAATTTTCAAGATCTGTGAGGCTATAATTTAGAAAGCAGTTGTATCAACTAAAGGATTTCCAACCTATAGAGTCATGCCAGACACCAGTAGGTTTATGTTGGGCATTCATTTTTCCAAGAGTTAAATTAAAAAAAAAAAAAAAGAAAAGAGGATCTAAGCAGCAGTTCCTTTTCCTCCTGGTAGTTTCTGATGCCAAGAAGGAAAACAGTTTCAGTTTTACACTGATTCTCTGTCAAACCAGCTGCAGCCCAGTGGATTGGCTGGTTTTCTGGCATGATGGTTATGACCTCAGTGCTAAATGTAACACTGCACCCCAAAACTGGAAAAGAACAGAATATATACCTATGTTCAGCAATGAGGTATGTACACGTCAAGCATGGACTCCGAGCTCTCACTTCTTCAACAATGTTTATGTACTGTTCCCCTCATGCTCTGAGCCAGAAAGAGCTACCTCTATTTCTCACACTAAAGCCTCCCTTCCACCATGAAATAAAGAATGCATAGACTTTTAAATAAAAGGATGGAGATGATATAGATGTACTTCAAGTAACCTGGGATTCCAGGATTTTATTCTCAATACTTATCCCTATCTACTGTTCGCCATGGATAGATCTTGAGCAATTTCCTACTTGCCTAAAAGTAATAATAAAAAATATGTTCTGACTTTATGTAAGACCTCATAAATAGTCTCTGAAACAAAAATCACAATATCTACCAATCTTATAGAAAAAAAAAAACCAAAACCAGTGAAGTGGGTTTTTTTCTTAATTCTGTGCAAACAAAAAAGTCAAAACTCTCCATCTACTTAAGCCACTATTTCTCAAAAAAGGTTCTAAAAAACAACCAATATGTAATTTGAGTGAGCAGAAATTTATTGACACCAATTGTTTCACAGCACAAGCTTAGACTCTTCGCAAAAATCTCCCCTCCTCTCAAAAAATCTCATCAGTTCAATGTTGACACATGTACCTTCACCCAAATCCAAAAGCTATAGAAATACAAGGTAAGATGAATGTTTAAAAACAAAACTGAAGGAATTCCAGTTAAGTCCACACTGTCGTCTTTGTGAAAATACAGTTTTAATTATCCCTCATGATATTTAACTGGTTTTTTATGTGGTTAAAGAGTTTCTTCTATTCACTCAGAAAGCAGTATATTAAGGATTTTTTTACTGTAAAATTTGAGTTGCATTTCTAGTGATATCATACTGTTAGATGCTTTAAAAGACATCCATAGCCTCTCATATCCTTCTAAAACTAGGAAACGAATTTTTTATTTGAATAAAAATGGCAGTTAACTGGTTATTAATAATGAGTCATATTTTTAAAGTACAAAATATTTACATTTGTGACATGCAGCAGGCACTGTGGTAAATGTAAACTTTTTTGTGACAATAAGCAATGAGCACTCAACCTCATACCAAGTTTATCACCATTGTAAATAACTTGTTTGAATACATTTTTGGCTTTATGATTAATTTTAGTTATTTCACTTTGTCTTCCCTATGCAAAGCAACAAAGAACTATGTATCTAATTTCGTGGAATAATTAAAAAATGCATCACAATACATAAAGGGTTTATTTTATCCATAAAATCCAGTATCATCAACTTAAATTTCTAGAGCAGGGAAGACTCCTGATGACATTCACAGACATTAATTGACAGTGTTTATCCTTAACAACTCTGTAGGAGAAGAATCTGAAACTATCCTCATTGAAGTGTTGCTGTCTCTCAAAACTAAGAGTCAACTCTATAAATTTATCTTTATGCACTGCCTTTGAACATACCAAAAGTCCTGGTTTTGGGGTGGTAGTGTTGTTTTAAATCCGGAAAGCTTTTTCCTGAAGCCATTAAAGATTCCTGACAATCTTACTTATCTTCCCCCCACACGTCTGCAGCCGTCATTATAAACTGCTCTGTCTTCATGGCTTTTGTTTGTCGACAATACAATTTTAGATAAATTTGATTAGAAGTCTTCCATGTTAAGAGTACAATAAGCATGCCTATATAAAGAGTGTAGACAAAGAAATTATGAGTACTCGTAATTTAAAATTGTTATATACAAGCATCTGAACAAAGTAATTCCCTGATTTTGACTTCAGCTAAAACAAAATACAGGAAACTCAACTTGCATGAGGTTTTGAAGAAAACAAATGCATAACACATTAAGCAAAGTAGAGAAATACAGAATCTACAGCTTGATTTATATTAAAGAAACTAAAAATGACAAATAGAAATAACCATGGAAGTAAATAATATTAACACTTACACCTAGTCTTATTTCATAAAGGTATTTTTCCATGGTTTTTTTAATATTTAGCATCACATAGTGATCTCCAAATGCCTATTGATATGCTTTCACTGTACTGAGTTAGAATTGTAGTGTTCACTGTAGTATACACCACAGCAAATGAGTAATAAATTACAAATAAAAGTTCCAGTTTAGACTTTGTTCAGGAATTACATTCAGCAAACATCTAAAATATTTTTAAAGAGGCAGTAGATTTTTTAGACTCTTTTTCTATGACAAAAACCTAACTGAAATTTATATAGCTATCTTTAATTTGAGAAGCAAAATAATGAATTTAACAGATTACACTTACACCAGATTTCCAGTAATACAGTCTGTCTGAAGATTAACATAGTCATCACATGGAAATGTTTGTACATTAAAATAACTAGGAAATGGCATTTCTTTTGGACTTGTATTTTTAACATAAAATTTCTTTTAAGATTTAAATAAACATTAGAAAAATACTTCATAATAATTCATGATTCAATAAAATAATAGTTTTTAAAGTATTCGTGCTATTTATCTCAGACACTCTTTTGTTTGGGCAAAGGAAACAAACTAATGTTTTCTAACTTCACTTTCACATTGTCAAAAGTTAGCAAAACATTGCAATGTTTAAGTTGTAGCCATTGGAAAAAAGTATTAAATAAAAATTTGTATAATTTTTTTTGTTTTTATAAAGCTTCAAGAACACATTTTGATTGTTACTAGAGAAGTTTTGCCATTTAATTATTTACAAAAATTTACACAGTCTAGTTTTGTTCAAATCGATGCCCTCTTAAAACTTTTCAGTGCAAGACTCTAGTTGCCAGACTGTCTGGTTAATCACATAGCATCTTTTTGTGAAGTTCTTTTCACCTTTCAATCAAACTCCCACTCTCCCCAAAAACTGTCTTTAAATGAATCTGCATAGTTAAACTGACAATGAAAACCTTTAAAATTAGTTTTAGAAAGCATTCATGACATGAATGAAAGTATGTACTGCTATTTTATTGATATTTGAGTGAAACTGTACTATCACCCAGCTGAAATGGATGGATGAAAGCAGCAATCTCGAAACACTGCATAAGAATTTTCCCCAGAGCCTACTTAGCTTTGCTACTGTTAAACACCTCACAGAGCATTCTTTGCAAGCAGATACCAAACAGAACCACCTCTGACTGCAAGGTCAGGTCTGAAAAAGGGGAACAATAAAAAAGGACTTCATACTTGTTTTTGTTTCTCTTGAGTATATAATAGTTATGTTGGGATCTTAAGAGAAATGAGTCAAAACTAGCACTGATGTAGTGTAATTGCACAGAAGAAGGAATCAGTACCAACAAATCTGACAAATCTCCACACACCATTTCTGCAGGTAGCCTTAGAAGGAGATACTGACTGTGGTTTGTGGATTTACATTTAGCATCTTTAGTCAGATTTCTGTGCCAGGAAATGAAACTCTTCTGGAGAGATGCTATAGCCTAAAAAGTAGACTGTCTTAACTGCTTCTACAGAATGTGGATCTAGAGTGAAATGATTTATATGTTCTACATAATAGTTATTAATTTTATGAATAATAAATATCTACATATTTAGGAAAGTAAAGGGAAAAAATACATAAGAAAAGTAACAAGTAGCAATATTCAGAGAAGTCAAATAATAATTTTAACCCAGAGAAGATCATTGGTCCATGGAAATGAATATCCCATCTTCGAGATATTTAAAAGGTTGAACCTAGTAATTGCACCTGCTCACATCTTTTACATAAAATAAGATCAAAATCTGTGATCAGTCCCTTTGAAACTCCAATAGGTACCAGTTAAACTTTAGTACTTTAGGACTTCCCATTCTCAAAACAATTCAGCACTCATTCTTATTGTATGACTTGTTACTTATAGAATCATAGAATCATAGAATCAGACGGGTTGGAAAGGACCTCTGAGATCATCAAGTCCAACCCTTGATCCAATACCACCACAGTTGCTAGACCATGGCACTAAGTGCCACATCCAGCCTCATCTTAAAAACCTCCAGGGACAGAGAATCCACCACTTCCCTGGGCAGCCCATTCCAATGGCTGATTACCCTCTGTAAAGAATTTCTTTCTAATATTTACTGATAAAAAGAACTAATATTCATTTTCCTGATCAGTTTTATATTTACTTAAAAAAACTTTTAGAAAGGAAAAACAACTAAAAAAAGATTCAGTGCTGACCCAAGCCTCTCTCCCTTTTTTACAGCCAAACTGTGCTCAAATATTAAGTTCAGATATTTAGTTTTACTGCAACCTAAAAGACAATCTTGCATAAATCGTTATCGTGCAGAAACATCCACTGGTGATGATGTACTATAAAACAATTAAAAAAACACTGCCACATTTAGTAACTCCTCCAAAAGGGACAGGCATCTTTTCAGGTTACTTCAGTGGCTTTTCAGGCAAAACAGTTCAGGCTGGCTTATTAAACTCCTTTATGATGTCAGCTTGGCATGGACTCTGCCACCACAAGTTACCAGAAAGCTGAGTTCTGTGGTTATACATGAAGACCACTAGTGTAATATTTCAAGAAAAGTGAGATTCAGAAAAAAAAGTTATTAAATTGATAGTGCATAGAGAATGCATTTATTTTTCGTACATATAAAAGCGTTCAGTGATTCTCCAAGAAAAAGAAAGAGCTTAACAAACCAAATGTCCAGTTAAACTGACCACTCGGAGTCTTCTAGTTTTTCTTAATCCTCCATTGCATTTATTCTTTCATTCATTAAAAACTTTGCAAGAGCCATCAGTAACATGACACTCTGAAACTTCATTTTCGTCACCTAGAAATAAAATTTAGAAACTTGAAAGTAAATATGCAATCTTGTGAAACTGCCACCAATTATTTTATCATGGTGCAGTGCTATGTATAGTTAAGAGACTTAATAATTTGCACCAGTTACTTTTCATGGTATTTCAACTAGAGAAAAAGAATGACTTTCAAGCATCTGACTTCATCTTTCAGTACCTGTTTTTGTAAATGAACTAGTTGCAAAACTCCCAATTTCCAATATTTTGAAAACCATATATTAAGTACATGTAGAGAATCAGCTAAATTGCTTTCTATTCATTATCAAATTTGCAATTTCTCTGAATATAGATATTTGAGTCTGAAGCAGCAGTGACTAGATTTTCCCTTTCACTTTGAAACACCAATGGTTTCAGTACACACTATATAAAATGACCTGAAGGTCTGAAATGTTTTCAAACAATTTGCAAGTAAATCTAGCAAGCTGTTAGCAGTCACGGTTACATGCACATCCTGGCATATCAACTCTATTATTTATAAAAAGGCATCGTCCATAAGAATGCACTCTAATGTGGCTGCCAAAAAGCAGTATTTTTCATTATGTATTTTATGAATTAACACATTTAATTCTTCAACACGGTGAGGATGACTTTTATAAGAACAAAATAATAAACTCCTGAATTGTTTGAGAAATTAGCTTGCTTGCATAAGATGAAAAACTTTGATTTATCTTTTGGTCAATGAAGTTTTAGTTGCTCAAAATTTAAGGAGATAATTTTCCCCAAATTTAATTCAATGGAGTCTACTTTAGAACATTTGTTAATTTTTCATTTCAAAGAAATGTATGAAACCAGTTCAAAACGTTTAATTAGTGATTAAAGAAGCCTAAATTCAGCTCTTGCCAAATAGGTTTCTTTGATTGCTTTTGGAAAATACTGAAGGGTACTCTCCATATTTACAAGCCTGAATGCATACATAACTAAAAATCATTTGTTTTTCCTCTGTCAGCTATTTAAACTCTTACTCCTTGAGGTGGTAGAAAAACAACAAATTACAATCCATTACTGATTACTAATTTTAAAATTATAGCCTTTAAACTAGTCAAAATTTATTATAGTAATTTTTGTGTAATACAACTAAACCGGGTTTTCAGGTGCAATTTTTCATTTAAATCCAATATTTAAATACAAAGTGTCATGTAATAAAGGGAGAACCAATTAATTATGTTAATTTTATTTAGTATTGCATTGAGGCCCATCATTTTCAATCACTGAGCAAGACTGATGGCAAGTAGGAGAAAAAAACCTTGCCACTAAAGAAAAAAAAACGAAATTTACCCCCTTTTTTATGAAAATTTACCTATTTTTTACCTCTGTTTTGTGAAAAACAGACCTTTTAAACATATATTTTCAATCTTAAAAAAATCTACAAACTACACGACTGCATAGGATGTCAGGAGATCATCTACTCCACTGCTTTACCCCAGGCAGTCTCTGGTAATTTCCAAATATCCTTTAAGTAATTTCAGGTACCGTAATACCTGAAATTTATTTATTTTTTTTTGAGGGGTGGTTTGGGGGATGACAGTGAAAAGTGGTGCAATATTCCTTTTGCCACTCTTGACCTGAATGCTCCTGCTCCACAGCTCATGTTCCACAGCTCTTGATCCACTTGGGATTAAAGTCTCAAGACCTGTATTCTTGGACCACTTTCCAGCTAGGGTTCACTCCCATAGGCTCATCATATTTATAGGAAGGCAGGAAGAGGGAATAATGTCCCTCATCTCTGATTATCAGCTCAGGGATCTTAGGCATTACATAAATAAGGACTATTCTTTGCAATCTAGTTCCTACTAGTTCCTGACTATCAGGACTTTTCAAGCACTTTCCAGATTTTCCCTTCTGTAGGTCTCAAGCTTCGGTGTTGTCTGTTTTTCCCTGATTGCTTTTTAAAGTAGTTACTCAGGCATAAGTAAAGAGTTTTCATCTTTAGTAGCTTTTCCTAGGGTGCTTCAGATAAAGTTGACAGAACTTTTTGAAACAATGCCATTCACTGTTATCCTTAAATTAAGTTGAAATATGCAGGTAACTCATGCCACTGTGGTCCATTAGATCTCCTAAATGCTCTTCTAAAACATCACTCAGTGATGGGTACCAAAATTAACAGCTCTCTGAGGTATTATAACAAATTAGAGTGATTTTACTTTGCAATTTAAGTTTCTACTCATTCATGATAATTTTATCACCAGTGAGAAGTTTTGAACCAGAATATGATCTTCAAAATTATATTTGATATTTCCATTGAGTTAAAAAGCAATGATTAGGCACAATGAGCTAGTTTTGTTCAATCAAATAAATCATGTCTATCTAATAAAAAATTTATCTATAATGTTCTACTTAAAAAATATTGTACTGAAGTGTTACTTAAATTAAGCTATGTTGTATCTACTATTTTGTACTTATCTACAGTTATTTATCCCAGCTATGAAGAAATTAAGTCTGAATTTGCCACCATTAGTAATCCTTCAGGTACATATGCACAGAATATTTAATAACTTTTTTTATTATTATTGTTGGAGATATTAATCCAGCATGGGCAAATACCAAGTTTTTACTACAGAGAACACAATTTCTTCAAGTCTTCTGAAAACTTATGTGACCCTCATGTTCTCAAAGAGACCCTGTTAATGGTTTAGAACAATTTTATGTAGTTTTTAGGTGCTCTAGGACAAGTGTCATCAGGTTTTGTAAACTTGACTAGATCAAAATAATCCTCAGTCCTCTATTCAGACATACTTGTCCTTTTCTATTTTAATTATTAATTAGAATCAAATTTTTTGTGAAGATAAATAAAACAAGGAATCCAGGAAGAGTTTTCTTCTTCATGCCTCAGTTGTCTTGCAAAAAGACATAATGTCAATAGAAGACATCATACAATATTTTTTAGTGAGCTTGTCTTTTTCCAAAACTGAAAAAACCAAAAGGCACATCAAGTCTAAGGAAGTTTTCATGTGTGTGCTTTTAAAGACATAAACAGTATTTTGGCAGCATTAAGCCTCACAGCACCTAGAAACTCCGGTAAAACTCATTCACCTAAATTAAATGTAATGATTTCTTGCACCAAATAACAGAATGATATTTCAGATTTCCCATCGTAACACTTAACTACGTTAATTACACTACAATGGGTCTTAGTTTATGTCTTTTGGCCAATTAAGATAATATTTGCCTCCCATATTCACCATAAATATCTACAATTCACTCAGCTAATCCTTAAGCTTATTTTTAAGACTGGAAATCATGCTAAGTCTGAATTCAAGTTTCTAAATCATTTTAGTATGATAAAAGCTTAAATGAGCATACTCTTGCATTCCTTGCCCATTATTATTTCAGCTTGTAGATTAAGTCACATAACTTGGACTGAACTGAAAGAAGTAGCCATATTTATGTCTCTGTTACTCAGCAGAACTGGGCAGCCTTGAATGGACCCTACAAAGGAGCTTGCTACCACATAAGCATTAGGGCTCAAAAAGTTAGTTTCAGATTACCCTGCATATTACACTTCTACTTTAAAATCAAATGTTCCAAATAGGAAAGGAAGCTTATAAAATCTTCTTGTCATTAAAGACACTGGGAAAAAAGTGCTACTGACATAAAATTGTAACCAAAAAAATTCGCAAGAAAAATGTTTGTTATTTAAAATATATAAAAATATAATAAAATTTTATATGACTCCTAATTGTATATATTACTCCTAACTGTGTATATATATATATCTGAGTGAAAATAATTCTTTGGCTTGTAAAAATATTTTACTGCATTTATCAGCTTTACAATAATGTACAATATACAGAAAAACAAACAATTTACTATTTATTTACTAATAGGGACAAGAGTCAACTTGCATTTAATAAAAAAAAAGGAAATACTTAACCTGTATTTAATAAAAATCAATTATTCCAGCATACAGAGTCACAGCAGAAAGTTTAAAACAAGAATTTCATTTTTTTCCACAAAACTTGCATTATTAAGGAAAATACAACTCTTCTTTCATTATTGACTCCTTCCATTTTGAAGTGAGCTCATTTGAGCTGTTAAACCCGAGTTTCTACTTGACTGCACAACAGATGCATGAAGCTGAATATATTATATTTGGGAAAATGGCCACCACTGATAAATCACAAATACTATTAAAATCACTAGAAACACAAATTGAGACTTACAGATGTTCCTAACAAAAAGAATAAAAAGTATACATTAGATAACTTTTGTTTGCTGAATACTGTTCCTTTTTTTCTCCTCCATAATCTCTTATTTTAAAGAACTTGTCCAGCATGACAATAAAAGCATGACATGCTAGAATATAGATCATAATTTAATCACTAGAATTTAAAATTTGGAATTAACTGACATATCTAAGTTTAAATGTAGCAAATAAGTCTGACAGAGTTCAAGAAGTGCTTGGACAATGCTTTCAAGGCATATTCTGTATTCTTGGGGCTGTCCTTTGCAGGGCCAGGAGTTGGACTTCAATGATCCTTGTGGGTCCTTTCCAACTCAAAATATTCTGTGATTTTTCTCCTTCCGTATTTGTTTCCATGATTGTTAAATGAAAAATTGACTGTTCTTTGACATTAGGAAATATATAGTTTAGGAACAGTCTTCTAGCACATTGTCCCATGGCAAAAATACGCATACAGTATGTTCATATATATTTTAGAATCATAGAATGGGTTGGAAGGGACCTTAAAGATCACCTAGTTTCAACTCCCCTGCAATAAGGGACACTTCCGTAGATGTGGTTACTTAGAGCTCCATCCAACCTGGCCTTGAACACTTCCAGAGATGAGTAGTCCACACCTTCTCTGGGCAACCTGTTCCAGTGCCTCATCACTCTCACAGTAAAGAATTTCTTCCTAATACCTAAGCTAAACCTACTGTCTTTCAGATAAAGACCACTCCCCCTTGTTCTATCACTACGTGCCCCCTTAAGGTATTGGAAGGTGCTCTAAGGTCCCCCCAGAGCTCCTCTTCTCCAGGCTGAACTCTCCCCAACTCTCTCAGCCTGTCGTCATAGAAGTGCTCCAACCATCTGATCATCTTTGGGGCCCCCTCTAGACTCATTCCAACAGATCAACGTCTTCCTGTGCTGGGGCTCCAGAGCTGGATGCAGCACTCCAGGTGGGGTATCACAAGAGCAGAGGAGACAGGGAGAATCACCTCCCTCGACCTGCTGGTCATGCTTTTGATGCAGCCCAGGACGTGGTTGGCCTCTTGGGCTGCAAGTGCACATTGCCAAGGCATACTGAGCTTTTTGTCCAAACCCCCCCAGGTCCTTCTCCCCAGGACTGGTCTCAATCCATTCTCCACCCAGTCTCTACTTGTGATTGGGATTGTCCTGACACACATGCAGGACCTTGCACTTGTCCTTGTTGAATTTCATGAAGTTTGCACAGGCTCACCTCTCAAGCTTGTCAAGGCCTATCTGGATGGCAACCCTTCTTTCCAGCATTGTCAACCACACAGCTCGGTGTCATCAGCAAACTTGCTAAGGATGCACTTGATCTCACTGCCCCTATCACTGACAGATGTTGCACAGCACCAGTCCCAATACCCACCCCTGAGGAATGCCACTTGTCACTGATTCCCACTTGGACATAGAGAAACCGTTGACTGCAGCTCTTAAAAGTGTGACCATCCAGCCCATTTTTTATCCACTGAGTGATCCATCCAACAAATCCACATCTGTCTAGTTTAGAGACAAAGATGTCACATATGACAGTGTCAAATGCTTTGCACAAGTCCAGGTAGATGACATCTGTTGCTCTTCCCTCATCCACCACTGCTGTAACCCCATTGTAGAAGACTACCAAATTTGTCAGGCGTGATTTGTCTTCAGTGAAGCTATGCTGGTTGCCACCAATCACCTCCTTATTTTCCATGTGCCTTAGTATTGTTTCCAGGAAGAGCTGCTCCAGGATTTTGCCAGACACTGATGTAAGACTGACTGGCCTGTAGTTCTTGAGTCTTCCTTATTTCCCTTTTTAAAAATGGGTGTTATGTTTCCCCTTTTCCAGTCAGTGGGAACTTCACAGGACTGTCATGCCTTCTCAAATATGATTGATAGTGGCTTAGACACTTCCTTGGCCAGTTTCCTTAGGATCCATGAATGTATCTTGTCGGGTCTCGTGGACTTGTGCATGGGAACCTTCACATTCCTTAAATGGTGTCAAACCCAGAGCAGGTGGTTCTTCATTCTCTCAATCCCTGCTTTCACCTGCTGCAACTTGGGCAGTGTGCCCAAAGCACTTGATGGTGAAGTCTGAGGCAAAAAAACTGGAATAAGTCAGCATTCTCCATGTCCTGGATAAACAGGTCTCCCGTATCCTTCCTGAGAGGACCCACATTTTCCCTAGTCTTTCTTTTGTTGCTGATGCACCTAAGGCAGCTTTTTTGTTACCCTTGATGTCCTTGGCCGGATTTACTTCTGCCCGTGCTTTAGCTTTCCTAACCAGATCCCTGGCTCTTTAGACAATTTCTCTGTATTCCTCACAGGCTACCTTTTCCTGCTTCCGCTCTCTGTAAACTACCTGTTTGTATTTCAGTTTGTCCAGGAGTTCCTTGTTCATCTATGCAAGCCTCCTGGCATTCTTCCATGACCTTCCCTTTGTAGGGATGCATTATTCTTCAGATTGGAGGAGAAAATCCTTGAATATTATCCAGCTCTCTTTGGTCCCTCTTCCCTCAAGGGCCCTAGCCCACAGTACTCTACCAAACAGATCCCCGAAGAGGCCAAAGTCTGCTGACCTCAAGTCCAGAGTGGTGAGCTTGCTGTGTGCCCTCCTCAGTGCCCCAAGGATCCTGAATTCCATCATTTCATAGTCACCACAGCCAAGGCTGGCCTTGAGCTTCACACTCCCCACCAGCCCTTCCCTGTTGGTGAGGACAAGGTCCAGCATGGCACCTCTCCTTGTCGGCTCCTCTATCACTTGGAGAAGTAAGCTGTCATTTATGGGTGTACATTTATAACACACCTGCATCCACTGATTTTTAAACTGTGCTGTAACGATGCACTTCAGGTATTAAAATACAGATGTAGTGAACCCAAAATAGCAGATCACAGTTCAGCAACTAATTACAGATATAGGGCAGTCACCGTTCAACTAGATTTCATAACTCTGACATCAACTTTGTTGAGCCCTTTAAGTTAATAATTAATTTCATATAATTCATTGATGAACTGCTATAGAATTTTCTAGGAAAAACAAGCTACTAAAATATACAATTATAATTACAAATATTCAACTCCATGTAAAGTTTGACAAACAGAGCTCAAAATATCATAATTGGAAAATGACTACCCCAATACAAGTTAGGACCATTTTGCAGGGAACTTCCTGAGATTCAATATTTTATTATACATTTTCATTTAAGTACCTTAAGCTAAACTAACTCGAAAATGCTTAAATATAAAAAATATTCTTAAAATTATTATTAAAGACGAAGATCAATTCATATAAAAAAGTCATGGTTGAAGAAGATGCTTACATTGCAACTCATGTCTTATTCCATCTTCACCTCTGAACAAGTTAGAAATTGCTAAGTCAAGTATTTTTTCCACCATAGATTTTATGCTCCTATTTGCAATTTTAGTAGAAATTTTTACTTGTGAAATAAAAATAGTTTGAACAAGGCAACCTATGATGAGGAGCTACTTTACAAGAGCACCATAACATTTAAAAGAGAAAGACCTTGGTGTCTTAAACAGATTTTGAATAGGAGCAGAAATTTTTCAAAATACCAAACATTAAGAGAAAAGAAGGCTCAACATTACTTTTGTTATATATAGTAAACAGTTTTCTATCTCTTATGACTTCTTTGTATTTTTAATGTATGGGAAAACAAATAGGTGTTCTTTTGGATCCTATGCGCTCATTTATTTTACTCAGAAATAAAGTCAGTACTGCAGCATTTTCTTCTTTTGGTGTGTTTCTGAAATATTTTCCCTTTTGGAATGTTGGTATATTTTGCAATTTAGTTGCATGAGTATATCTAATGCAGTATGATATCTTTTGATTTTCCAGCTCTAGGTAGTAACTTACCAGTAGTATGAGCACAGTAATTCACATTGTTTCTGTAGGACTTTCCATGAGCGTGCTGAGGCAGCCTGTTCACATCACCAGAATCTAGAGCCTCTGCAGTGCCACCTGATATATTTAACGGCCTGTTTCCGGGAAGTTTAGCTGGTTTGAATTTTTTCTTTACTGGAAAATCATGCACTGAAATAGACTTTTCCCTATGTTTCTTGGTAGTACTATGTGGCTTAGAGAAACTCACATGACAGAAGTCTCTGCTGGTAAAAGAGTCTTTGCAACAAACTTCAGGACGACTCTGTGATTCATCTGGCACTCTTATCTGTACCTGATTTTCATTTAAACTAGATGATGAAAAGAAGTCTTCATAAGAAGCCTCTTCAGTACAATACGACTTGCTATATGTAGTAACTGCTTGCAAGAGCCCTTTAGACCCTGATGCACTCAGTTCTGAGGTAAACAACTTCAAATTAGGTAATGGTTGTAGTTTCTTCCTCTTCTTGACTTCAAGAATACTATCATTTTTGTCATCAGGGAAGCTTTTATCCAGTGAACACGTATTTAAGTCTTCACTATTCATAGGTGAATTAGAGAGACTGTCAATCAAAGAAGGAACAGTATTTAGCTGCACTAATTTTTTGGAAGGAGTAATATGATCGAAGTCCCTGAGAAGAGAACTTTCATTTGCAATTGAAGTAGTCTTGCTCTTTTCATTCTTCTGATTTTTCTTTGGAGACTTTGGTTGTTTCTTTTCTAAAGACAATTTGTCATCCAAAGTGCGCTGTATAATCTGTTTCTTTGTTAAACTACTTCTGGTATGTCGTTTTGGTGTTAAGCTTTTTCGCTCATTGCCCTGTGATGAAGAATTCACTGATGCACTCGTGGATACAAGACTATCAGTCCAAGTATCACAGGAGTGTTCTACTACCTCTGTTTTCTGTCTCTTTAATTTCTCAGTTCCCCAGAGATAATCATAACTTGAGTTCAAGCAGTCTTCGATTTGTTCTCCTGCAGAACACAGAAAGTGTTGATATAAATTTATCGAACAAAACAAAAGAGTATCAATTTCTCAGTAAAACATATAAGGAATTACGGAACCAAAAAAAGGATTTAGCCACTTCTCTGGATATTATATAGCAAGTCATCAAAAACTAAACAGAAAATGGATTAGAAACAAAGCACATTCTCTGTTGACAAGAACCTACGACAGCTTTAGCTATCATATCTCCTTACCTGGTCATTAAGCACCCATAAGTCCTGTTCTGCTTTCTTGAAACAAAGTAACAGAGGGACTCACTTTCACTCTTGTATTTGTAGAGAAAACCAGCAAGATTTTACTGATAAAGCTTGCTAGAGTAATACTGGAAACTCATTAACCATTTTTGCTACCACAGCGTTAGCACCGCCTTGTAGCTTTTGCACAACATCATAGTATCATACCACATACCTCGACACAACGTATTAAAAATAATTAGAGTGGAAAAATGTATAATTTCTTGTAGCAATGTTCAGGAAATTATTTTGTGCGAGGTGGTACACAATATATTCATAACTCTTAAGATGAAATTCCTCTGAAACAAGATAATACCTCTGATTATTCAGAATACATTTTTAAAAATCCTGTTGTTCTACAATCTGATAATTGCAATAGATGCTTCTGCTTAAACAAATGTTGAGTTCAAAGCTTCAGCAATATTTCTGCAAGCGCTCCTGTGGATTTTAGGGGAAGTCTTGATGTTATTTGCTTAAAAGTATAGATAATATTTTTAAACATATGGTGTAGCTAACTACACTAAGAAAAATGAAATACATGGAAAAGAAAGGATCAGACTTTCAACTGACAGTTGAAGAGGTCTTAAATTCAGTCCTCAAATAAAACTGGCTTCTTGAAGTTTTTAACCATTATTAATCCATATGTCTCATATATCTCTCAAGCACAAACAAAAGGGCCACTGTCACAAAGCATCAGAGATGGAAGCTACACTGAATGCTGTCACAGGATGTGGTGGTCTATTCTTAATGTAAAATTACATTGTGCAGTTGTAATGCTGAATAGACTTACTCAAGGTAAAGCTCTCAAATTGCAATGTTCTACCTCATCAACACGAAACTAATCTACAGAAATAAAAGAAGTTTGCTGGCACAGTTATGCTACTGCCAGTATTAAGCTATCACTTGTCGCTAACATTGCACAAAGACATACAAAGCTGTTTCAGGCAATGGGATAACGCCCCTATTCTCAGCTAAGCCAACATGACAGAACTCCTGTGTGATTTCAACAAAATACAGCACTTCAGAAAAGCTCAAGGTGCAGTTTACTGTTGGGGGAGAAAAGATAGCAGGCAAACTTCTCAAGCAGCCCTCCTTATGAATTCGAAAGGCTGTCTTCTCCTTGCATTTCTACTGAGATCAAACACCAGCACCTGACTTGAGCTTTTTGCTCATGTGACTGACAGAAGACATGATGTCTGAAATACGTACCCATTGCATACATGATCAATACTGTTAAGATGCCCACTGATGTAGCTCAACAGACTTCACAATAATCTCTCTTACATCCTGTTAATATGCTAAAACACAGGAACAAACCCCTAACTTTATGAGAATAACATTATGAGGGTCTTACCTTTCTAACAAATTATTTTAATTCATCTGCAACCATAAAATATTTAAAAAGCCAATTTATTTTTACTCTTGTTATATCTATCTTCAAACCTGACTACTTAAGCTAGAAAACACATTAGGCATCCTTTCGAATTCAAGTCTTCAATAGAAAATTTGGAAGACATTTCAGTTCTTGCAATTAGCATCAAAGCCTTGATATAGTACAAATGCTTTTCAATATGTTTGAAGGTTTACCTAAAACTCAAAGAGAAAACAAATACGAGCCATGCTAAATTACACTGAAGTTTAATTTTTCATCCATGCATCACTTTATCCTTACTTATATCTTCACTTTCCTCTCACAATTATTTTTCAAATTAGAAACTCAGTCTACTTGACACAGACATCTTAAAACTTCAAATACTACAGATTTGTCCCACCAAAAGATGTTCCACATTCAACAGTTTTTACAACTCGCAAAACCTAATGATTTAGACCTTAATATTTTCTCAGTAAGATAATGCAAGCACTAAAAAACATTTGAAAACTACAATCTAGATTTAATTCACCCGGATCTGCATTTTGAAATCAACTACATTTATTCAATTAGGTTATTCAAATTTATTTAATTTGTAAATCCTGTTGTTCAGTACCTACTCAAAACCTGGGAAGATGGGAAGACATGCAATCAAGTAAGAGATAAAAAAAAATTCTGAAGGTGAGAACATGACAAGTGTGCAAAAAAGTCAGCAATAAAAACAGTAGCCAACTGTGCATGTTCATAGATAAGTAAAATTTAACTTCTTACCAGTAGAAGAAAGATTTTTTTTCTTCATATCCTTCATTCCTCTTTCAATTGCATTGCATTGATCTTTCATCTTATTAACAGGGCTGTATATAAGTGAACCATTGTCTTCAAATAGTAAAACTGGTACATCCGTTTCTACACAAAGAAATTGTATTTATATATTAATATTTAAATGCTATAACAACTTCAGATGAAGTTTCATTTTTCTTTCGAAAAAGCTTAACAAAAAATAGTTTCCTTATATCTAACATCATTACAGATGCCTTAACACCACAGACTTGCAAAGAACTCTGTAAAAAGTCAACTTCATTTCTCATGGCGAGATGCATAAAACTAAAAAAAAAAAAAAAAAACCCACCAAAAAACAAAACCCCATCAAGTGCTTTAAAGAAATACCTTCAGATAGTTGAATGTTAGTCGAAAATAGTTCTTACCAGCATTAATTGTTGTCTTTTGTATAGCTAAATCTTTAGCCATCTGGTCCAGTCTTCTCTGAAGCTTTCTATCATTTTCTGGAGTTTTTTCAACAAAATCTTTTGGCTGCATACATTTGTGCTACAAGACACACAAAACTATTAGTTACATAGTATAAAACTGCCAGAAGTAACTATACTTCCTATTTGCCTATCTCTTCATCACAGTATTTATTATTGGTGTTTATGCTACTTATCTTGAGAGTCACAGATAATTGCAGACATTTTTGAAAGTGAACTTTAATATGAAGTAGGAAAGAATCTAACAGATCTTTATTGTTTGCAGCAAAGCTAAAGCTTTAAAGGTATTTTTTTTAAAATAGAGTTTGTTGCAACTCAATGAAACATCTTCATTTTTTATTCACCAATACAAAAACTGTATTTTAGTATACTTTCTTCAGGTAAGATGCCACATGATCACACCAACAGCCTATCTTTAAAATCCTATTTAGATGGATAAGTACAGTTTACAGAATGTTTTGAAAATAAACAGCTCAAATGCCTGAGGTCAGAAAGTTAAGTTCAAACTTTAAAGCTTACTGTTCTAGGTCTATTTAAAAAAACATAAAAAAAATCACATACTTTTTTGATCAGTAGTGGAAATTCTTCACTAGTGTTCAGTGGAGGAAATAAGGACTCATCAACACGTACTCCAGTTTCTTGACACCTGTACAACAAATTAGAGCAGGTTTGCAGAGGTTTTCTTCTCTTAGTTTTGTTTGTTTCTTTTTAAGAATGAGAACCTTTACTGCAAAAAAAGCCATCTGAGCCCAGTAATAATGTAACACCAATCCTTCCTAAGTGTGTAACTTTAAGGTAACTACTGTAATGCTACAAATCACCCGAATCTATACCTTACATGCCAGATACGTGATAAAGTTTTTTGTGCTAATGATGCCCTCTAAATTGCTGTTCTGAAACTGAAAGATTCCCACTCATGTTATTTTGCACACATTCCAAAGTTGTGGCTGAAGTCCTTCCTGCAGCCACCAGTGTGGCTCTACTGACACCTAGTGATGAAACTGCTAGAAAGTCTGTGGCTGTACAATTATAATCTAATCCTCAGTTACTCAATTCTGAACGAAATAAAAAGCCAAACTACTATGTGCATTTGTCAAACAAACTGAATTTAGAATTCTCTGGAGCATCAAAAAGAGATATTCAAAACGGTGGACTTTTGTGACTGTTAATGAATTCTGGACAACAATCAGCATAGATGCAGACGACACGAAAAATTACACTAATTCAGAGATTTCGTTGATTCAGAGATGCTAAACAGAAGAAAATTTGGCCACTAAATATATTATAAGAATTTTTGCATACAATTCTGAATGTAAATGATTTATCATTTATTTGTGAGATGAGTTAAGAATATACAGGTAGAGTTTCACAATCGTGGGTTCGATATGGAAGTATTAAGTGTTCCTAATTAGGACACAGATTGTAGCAATTCTGTCTTTTATTGGGTTCTTTTTGGTTTTGGGTTTTGATTTTTTTTAGGTTGCTCACTGTATTTGTGTTGAAGAAAATGCAAAAAGATTTTTCTCAGTGATCCCAAAGCTGTCACTCATTTTGCATTAAACTTAAAATTTGTTTGCACAATAGCAAATCCATGATTTTGTTCACTGTTTTTAACATGAGACATATCTACTATTCTTAGAAAGGAGACAAAAGAAAAGGAAACTAAACAACTTTTTTTAATTAAAAATACCTTTACTCTAGAGTTACAAATTTTTTTAAACTTCAATTGTTTATGTTCCACAGAATTCTTGTTTAGACATGGTCAGATACAACACTGTATTTATGTTTTGATAAACATTTAATTGCTTCAGCAATTTTCTAAACCCATGTAAATCTTTGCTGACTATGTTTCTGCATCAAGGAGTTCTGCTGAAAATCATCTTTTACTGTTTTCTCTGAATCTGCATCCAGGCGTATGCATGTGATGCTTTCCCATTCTTTTATTGGAAAGGAAAATATACATTCATTTCATATTCAGCCTCTCTATATGAACATTTGTATTCACAAGAGTCTCCCTCCTCCACTCCCATTTCTTTTCCTGACTGAAGCATTATTGTCTCTTCTATCACACCTTACAAGAAAACTTCAGTAATGCTAATTGCCATATCTGGCAACATTCCAAATGTAACCACAATAAAATGCTGTCATTCCATTACATGAAGCTTTATGTTCTGTTTAATATGATTTTTGACTACTGCTGAAGTGACAATGTTATGGAAATGTTTACTGTAAGTCCCAAAATGTGATATTCATCTTCTCTCTGATATGCTTAAGAGGACTTATGCTTTAAATAGTCTCCTTGACACTAGGAAGAATTTTATTCCCTTTACTGTCTTAGCTTCTTAACAGAACTACTTCCACTTCAAGCAGATTCCCTTTTGAATTTAAGCACTGTCACAGAAGTTCTTGGGTTTGGTGTTCCAGTACGAACATATATTTTATACTGTGGCCATACTTACAAAAATTACTTAAATATTTGAAGAACCATCCACAAACCAATTAAGACCAAACAATAACTAAGATATTTGGTTTGCATTGCACTCCAATAGGAGTCACCCAACCCCCAGTCTACACTAGACAGTTGACACTTACTATTACATTTCCTGAAATGATGTTTCACAGCATTTCTGATCATTCTGAGAATGTTCCCCTTGCTATTGAACGGAGCAGCTGGTTAAACCATCCATCTTTTTTAGCAATGCTAAAACTTCAACTCATAAGAACTCTGCATTATTTGCTTACACAGTTGTCAGGTTTAAACTAAGCTTCCATCCACACAGGACAACTATTTTACTGGCACACACTCTTTACATTTTCCCAGGGTTCAACAGACTGTCTTCTGCCCATCAGTGTCTCAGACACTGATATACAAGGCATATAATTAAAAGTCAGGCACTCCAGTTTCCTCATCTTATTACAAAAAAAAAATTTGAATGCTAGCACAGACTGATTTAATTTTGTACTGCCTGTGCCTCATTTGCATAACCCTATGACTAGTAAGAATATTTATTACTATCTCTTATGTAAGCTTCTACCACTCCTGACCTATACTTTGTTCAAGGATATGATATTCCCATAAATTCTGCCTACAGTATGCACCAATCTAAGCTGTATGTTCTTCTGTTCTTCTTTTGGCATTTACTTTAAACTAAAAGGCAGAAGAAAAAGATTACAGAGAAGTTCAATCATAATTCACAGCTTGGGTCCTCCTCTGCAACAAAATACATCTGTTTCAGGGAGTCCCCCAGTTCCAACAAACTTCATCTTCTAAGCCGTATACCAAGACCTTGCCTTGGTCTGAATATGATACTAGGAACACTTAAAAAAATACCAGGAAGATGCTAGCCTTCTCCTTCCTACCAAATAGCTTAAGTTTTCCCTCCAGATCCTTTTTCTTGTTTTTTTCCCGTTGTTGCTGGTATCCAGCAAAAGTTTCTTGAGGATTTTACTCCTGGATTTCAAAGCTCCTTGATGTCTCCTACAGTGTTACATATCCGGTTGTCTCTCTGTCTCAACTTTCTACAGTGTTCATCCACTCAATGCCTTCCAGCGTCGCAGAGAAGATTCTTGTGGTGGAACTGCTATTATGGAGCCAGTATTTCTGTATGACACGTCCAAGACTCTCCCCTGTAAGGTACTCTCATTCTTTTTCCATGGCTGATGCTACTCACCTGCACTTTTTTGAGATTCTTTTTACCATAGCACATCCAAGTCCTAGGGAAATACGTTCACATAAATACAATTTTGCTTCACCTGCATTTTTTGGAACTTAAAGTATTTTTTCCTTGGTGTTAAAGCTGGCTGGATTGTGTGAAAATGGAAGAATTCTATTCAACATAAATACCTGGCCTTCACTGCCTATGCATGCCATCTGAAAGTAAGGAGTAGAACACTGAATAGTTAACAAATGTACTTTGAAACTACTTCAACACATTCATTTTTTAAGAATGAATTTTACCTTTTTATGCAACTAACATGCTTTATAATAGGAATAATGTCATAGGAAAGTTACAATTTACTCATGGATTTATCATTATTTCAAGTACATTAATAAAACAGGTTCTGTACTGAAGTTTTTCAATAAAACAATTCTAGAATCCATTATCTCTGAGAAAGGCCACATTCATCATAACCATGAGTACTCACTTTTCCACCCAAAGTACAGAAACTATTTTTACACCCATCTTCTGTGCTTTTTTCCATGTAGTCAAACGTCCATCCTTGAAGACTACATGGGTCACGTGTTTGTTCAAAGTTTTTGAGACCTGCAGAAGTACACAGAGAGCTCATCTGTAAGTCTGATAATAGGAAAATGCTAATGAAACTAGCTACTGTAGTCTATTTTAGTGTATAAACCATTAGCATAAAAACTTATTCAAAACATTATGTCAAAAACTCTTTTGATCTTTCTCATCTTTGCAAAAATCCTCAAACAATCAAAACTCAAGCCTCATTTTTCAAGCCAATGCAGGCTAGAGGGTTAGAGTAGCCTTTTGTTTTCAAACTTCTTTTCTCTAGGTTACTAATTCCAGCTCCCTACTCTAGCTGTATCACTTACTTATGTAGTGCAACATAATTTCTTATGCAACAGCCAGTATAGAAAGCAGATGCCACTATCTAAAGAAATAGCAAATTATATCTTTTATTCAGCAAATAACTCAGGCTTAAAGAGTACAGCTAATCTCACTCTTTAAACCAATTCTCATCAATAAAGATTGCTGTTAGTTTTGAGGGAAGGCTGAAGGTGCCACTAAAAAAAAATTATATCTGAATGCTTTAAAAAGTGAGAAATACAGAAAATTAAAGTCAGTACACAGTTATATTCCACATCTGATCAAATTGTCAATTATCAGCTTCTACTGACAACTAAGCGATAATGTTTTTTGTTCTAGATATTCCATTCTTCACAGTCAAAATTTCCTTTGTGGAGACTAAACACCCTACACAGAACTGCTTGATCAGTTGTGACTTGACATGGTGAGATCAATACAACCCATTTTTTACAGTAGCAGCACCTTCTCAGCACAGCCAAATGTTGCTCTCTCAGCTGTTGCTCTCTCAGCTGCACCACTATACTTGGCTCTCAGCATGCTGTGTCTGTATTTAGCTTTAAGAAAACTATTCAGCTTTGCAAAAAATTTCTGGTGGCAAGCTGATTTATGACTTCTTAGCAGACAAAATCTCATGACTTTTAAGTATCTAGGTATATGGGACAGATGAATCTCTCTTGAAATTAGTTATGACTCCAGATACAATTGCTTACTCACTTTTGCCAGTATCCAGCTGACAGCTCATGTCCTAAGGAGACAGATGCTTGATATAGCTTTGTCTCCAAATTATGGAGGAACACCATCTTATACATCCCTCTCACCCCTCCCACCTCCTCCCTTACCCCAGACGTCTTCTGCAGCTCAGCTGAACTTACCTGGAGATGTCTGAATCAACAATCTAGTGAAAAACTAATACAGAATTTAATCTCCTGACACAATGAGCCAAGCCAGTCTACTATCATGTGCTCAGCCAATAAAAGGGAAGTGTCTGGAATAGTGAAGGGACATGACCACCCCTTTTCAGTCACAGGGATCTGCTAAATAGGCTCATCCACATCATCTGCTTGCACCTTCCACCATATTTGGCTACTTCAATCAATCTGAAGAATTTTGAAGCCCTATGCTTTTGTCATATTTTCTGTGAGAAAAATCTATCATCAGAATTGAATTACAAAGATCTGATAGTACAGCACAAAAGAACAAGAAATATTTGTTACTTGAGTTATTTATTGAGAGTTGCGTTTGCTTTATAATAAAACCAGTTATCCTACTGTTCTGTCACACTCTCTCAACTTATTTCATACAGAGAGGACTGAGGGAGATCAGCAAGCTTTCTTAATTACAGCAAGACATATCTACACATGCCCACTTAAAGAGCACTGGGAGTTCACACAAATGTTTTCTAGAGCATGATGTGGGCTGTAAAAATCTCCATTAATCAGTGATAATGTGAAAGAAGGGAAGATGTGAGTCTGACTTTGGTCTCTGGCTGAAATTTTACAGCTGGCAATTAAACATCTTTTGCACCTACAAGTCAACTATATTTGGTATGGAAAAAATCATTTTGACATACACTGAGTCTCTTAGATGTATTTTTACTAGCACTTTCTGGAACTGAAGAACATTTGTGGGAGAGGGAATGAAAGAGTAAAATGTCATGGTACTTGAGTTAGAAAATATTTTACTAATAACAGAGCAGCTGCCTACAAGTTAAAGAAAACAAAACCACCTAAGGTACATACTTGCAAACCACAGGTTTTCAACACTTTGATTTGTTTTGCCCACAGTACATGGCAAGCCCAATACTTCACAAGAAATGCAGGCTATCACATTAATATGCAAAGAGGTTTCTAGATGTAGAGAGGCTTTAAATGCATTTCCCATCTGTCAGAGCAAGAATTTCACAGCACTTTGGTCTGCTCTCGGGTCTGTGATTTTCTTCTTTCCTGCCCTCTAAAAACTCATACTAAAAAGGAATATACACGACAGGAAGAACAAGCAAGCTAGTGCGTAATTAAGAGCTTTCCTATTCTATTTATTTCAAAATAGTCTCCTTACTTTGGCTCCCATATCAAGAAGTTGCTGTTCAAAGGTTTTTGAGTAATTTTCTGTTCTGTTAGATGACCAAACTTCTACAAATGCAGAAACACCTGGATAAGAAGAGAGAAAGCAACAAACAACTAATAAAGTATATAATATGGTAAAACTGGTTAGGCTGCCTTTCTAATAAAATTTTGTCTCTATACATATTGTATTCACTTGCAAATATACATTTTAGTAAACTGAGTATCAGCTTTTAGCAGCAGAAAGTTTTTGTAAGTGTATTTATGTCCCTTAAATTAGTTGTAATTAAGCTAACTTAGAAGTCTGACACTAGTTAAACAACGTTTCACTTCACTTATTTAAAACACACTACCAGATTAACAAGTAAGGTGTTATCTTTACATGACTGCTTACCCTTATCATTATTTAATCACTGCTAACTTCAGGTTAATCAAAAATTTGAAGACAAGTTGATGTAACACAAGTTACAGAACAAAATGAAATAACCGCAATAGAATTATTCCTTCCCCAAACTCCCAGAAAACTCTACAGAAATATTACTTAACGGTTTCCCATTGACTTGAAGTTTCACTTTATTTATATCCAACCACCTCAAATTAGGTACATATAACAGGGGCTAATAAAATTTCATGTCAGCTGCCTTATATAACTTTAAGTATTCACATTTAAGTAGCTTCCTTTATCAAGCAGTTCAACGAACTCTTCAAGGAATGGAATCAGCCTTGGTCGACAAGGTCTTTAAACAACTAAACAAAGTCTTTAAAAAAATCAATACAGAAGTACTGACATGGAGGGATAAGCAAATAAAACTCATAAGAACCTCTTCATTAATTTTAATTTCATTTCAGGATGGGCACTAAAGTAAAACTACAGTTCCACTGGCCATGCCACTTTTCCGTTTTGATTGATGAATCAGGAAAGTTCCAGAAACTAGAGGCATATCAGTTCATCAAGAACAACTTTATACAAACCACAGGCCAGACAACTCTCAGAACTGATGAAATAAATTGAGAGTTTCAATTTAAAAGGGTCATCCTTAGCAAATATTGTTTAATTGTCTTAGTTGCGACACATGCCTTGCTGATTAACTATTAAGTAGTGCCGCCTGTCTTCTTTCTAAATGAAAACTAGAACAATGGTCCAACAGTAGAAGTACTTCTATAGATTAACATAGTTTTATAATTGCTAGAAATACTTTTGACATACAAGAGAAATATGGAACATAAACCACTTCCTTATTCAGTCCACTGGGAAAAATCTTATTATCAGTACTATGACTTCATATACACGAGAACTTAAATCTACTGCAGTGCACCAGCTGGGTTCGTTCTACTACTAGACCGGGGCAGCATTTGACAACAGTTGCTTTTTTCCCTTGATTCTTTTATTGTGAGAAACACTGCACTTGCATTTGAAGAGACACTATCTTCCTCTTACAGGAAATATTTTAGAACCTTCATAGTTATAATTCTCCTAGAAAAACAAATCGGAACATTTCAGTAAAGGCCACACTAGGAATTTAGAGGGATGCTACTTCAAAGCTCCATGCACCTGCAGGAGGATCAAAGGTATATTTCATGATAATTAGTCAATTTTAGGTAATCAAATATACTCCAAGGCCCTTTGTAGTTTTTGTATAGTTGACGGAAAGGAAAATGAAGAAGCGCTTTTTTCAACTAAAAGAGCTCTGAAATCTGAAAACGCCAACTTATGCTTAGAAGGTCTCAGAGAAGGCGGTGATCGCTGAGTTGCCATTAGAGGGCAACTTGGCGAGGCAGAAATTTAAAGAGATGCAGAAGGAAGCCAGGACTGACCGGAGCAGGAAGAGCGGATGGCGGCTCCGAGCCACGCAGTACCGGGAGCCACCCCAGCGGGGCAGCCCGAGCGAGGCGGGTCCGGCCCGTCCCGGCACCTCACACTCACGCCGGGCCTGCTGGGCACGGCCCGCCTGCCCCGGAACCGCCGGGCCCCGCCGCCGGGCCCGGGCGGGTTTGCGGCGAAGCCAGAGCGACCTGAGGGGGAGCCCTGTCCCCCCACCACGGCCGGCCGCGACTGCAGCCTCTCACCCGCCCGGCCCGGCCACTTCCCGCCGGCTGCCCAGCCGGAAGGTGCCGGGGCAAGGGCCGCAAGGAGAAGGGGAGCGGGACAGTGAGGCCCGCGTCAGCCCGGCGGCCCTTCTCGGCCGCGCCAGGAGAAGCCCTCGCGGGGCGGACGGGCCGGTACCTGTCAGAACGGGCTCCATTGCCGCCACAACCCGGGAGGCTCCGACACCCGCCACCGTTCAAACCCGCCCCCGCGCCGCCCCGCCGCGCCTGCGCTCTGCGCGGGGCCGTGCCGGGGCGCGGAGGGGGACCCGGCGGGCCCGGCTTGTGGGGGGGCTGGAGCGACCGGCGGCCGTGTCGTGTCCACACAAGTCTGGGGTGCAAAGTGGTGCGTGCTCCACGCGGTCCTGCTCAGAAACAGGTGTGTGCTCTGCCCAGCTCCGGCCCTGCCCTGCGCCGGCGGAGGTTCGTGACAGCGAATGCTGCTGGAAACTGTGCTACAGAATCACAGAATCGCTTAGGTTGGAAATGACCTCTGAGATCATCAAGTCCAACCTATAACCAAACACCACGATGTCAACTAGACCACCAGGGACGGTGACTTCACCAACGCCGTGGGCAGCCCATTCCATTATCTAATCATTAATTCTGGGAAGAAATTCTTCCGCATGTCCAACCTAAACTTCCCCAGATGCAGTTTAAGCCTATATTATATTGTCCTGTCACTAGTTGCCTGGGAGAAGAGACTGCCACCCAGCTAGCTACAACCTCCTTTCAGGTTGCTGTAGAGAGCAATGAAACCCACTCTGAGCCTCCTCTTCTCCAGCCTAAACAACCCCAGCTCCCTCAGCTGCTCCTCATGTGACTTGTGCTTCGGACCCTTCACCAGCTCTGTTGCCCTTGTCTGGACACGCACCAGCGCAATGTCATTCCTGAATTGAGGGTCCTAGAACTGGAGACAGAACTCAAGGTGTGGCCCCATCAGTACCATTACAAAAGAAGAATCATTTCCTTCTTCCTGCTGGCCCCACTATTTCTCTGCAGGTTGGGATGCCAGGATGTTTTGACAACCAAACACTAAGTGAATTTTCTGTGTTGCCATTCACCATGAGGAGTCCTCAGGAAGAATTTTAGTTTCTAGAAAGGTGCATCAGAGTACCAGTAGCCTCTGAACTTTCTGGTGGCGCAAACTACAGTGTCTGAAATGAAAAAGCCAGCAAAACAGGGATTAGCAAAGAGCACTATGAGACGGTATTTATGAAAGCTTACAAAATTGCTTGACAGCAACTGTACTATTAACTATAGTTAGTGCACCGTAGTGGGAACTGGCTTTGGTGCTAGAAGGCTGAAGTGTAGTAAATGTGATACCAGAGGGAAATTAGAGAAAAACTGATGGTTTCCCCAGGAAAAATGATAAAATGTATAAAAATTAATAGAATTAATGAGTATAAAGAGATTTGCCATGAGAAAGAAGGAGTACATCAAGGAAAATGATGCTGCACAGCTTCATTATGCATCTCATACAGCTCAGGGGTTGCTATATGGCTGGGCAAATATGGTTGTCCTGAAATCTTCAATGTGCAAACCTCATTTCATCATCTGAAAAATTATGTAGCAGATATGGAAAAACAAGAGAGATGCAAAACAAGGATACTGAGTGATTTCCTTAGCACAAATCACTATTCAGACAAAAACTTGTCAGGCTGGAAAAGGAATGGTGGAAGCTGGATGTGCTAGAGGCCCTTAATATCATAAACATATGCAGAAGGTGGACCTGGAGCGGTGCGTTCCCGGCGACGGATAGTGAGCACCAAAAGACTGGCAGATGGCGTCTTCTTGGAAGAGATATTTCCACGTTGTGCTTCATCAGGCTGTGGAAGTGTGTTCAGAGTGCTAGTACACCACATGGTTTCTAGAAGCATATTCAGCAAATTCATGAAATCCATTTTAAGACTATAAAAAGTGTACAAAGCCATCTTTCCCTCAGTAAAGCCCTGAATTGTATATTGGTGGACTCTGAGAAGGTACAGTGAATACTTTGGTGTTTTCTTTTCTTTTGTTCTTTGTTTCAGTAATTTCCCACTGGAGAGACAGTGCTGACCTAAAATACCTTTGGGTCCATTATGTCCATTCTTACTTTCATGGACAGACTCAAAATCTTGACCCCTAGGAGTCTTCCAAGCAGATGGCTGTACCAATGCTATTTAAGATATCTTAACTTATTATATAATATTTTAGTATTGATTCAGTTTGTTTAATTTCCAGGGCATTGATATGGCACTAGATCTATGGCATATGTTGAGCACAGGTTCTTGGGTACTTCATCTGCTGAACCTGTGACAGACTTCCTTTCAGTTTCGTGTTCACTATGTGTATAAAGTGACCAGTCAATCTACATATATATATGTTTGTTTGCATTTACCTATCTTTTGGATTTCTGTCAGTATGTTACACAGTATTTTGCTAGGCAAGAATGTAATATTTTTACCACGGTACTCAACCGTGCCTCAAGGAAAAGGGAGTCTAGTCTTAATGCAGCGTCTATGAACATTAATCTGAAGGCAATTTCAGAAGTGGAGGTAGGGGAGATTTAAATGTACACTGCAAACCCTTAGTAAAAAATCCACAGGCTGTGTTTGAGCCCTTATGTAAAAGGTAGTAGCAGGGGCTGTGTTTGAGCCCTTATGTAAAAGGTAGTAGCAGGTTTTTAGATGCTAAAGGGAAATATACTGAATTGTACAATTATTTCCGTGTGCTCTGATTCTACACTGGTAGAGAAAATGAAGAGTAGTAGTTGCAAGAAGATGTTATAATTCATTATCGGAGCAGATTAGGACTACTCTTGAGAACACTGGGTTTGGAATGCCCACCTTTTTTATTACAGAAACAAATACATACAATGCCAAAAATATCCTACAAATTTACAGTTTTGTCCTAAACTGTTGACATTTTGACCTCAGAGTTACTTCAGGTTTTACAAGAACTCAGTTATCAGATGGTGACTACCCTTCGGAATTCCATGAGTAGTTAATAGCTGTCTGTTCTTGCGCCAGTATTGTCTTGCTGTCGGTTCCTCCTTAGCATTTATAATCCTGTAGTACTTACAGAAAGCAGCAATATATTTTTACAGCTGCTGTTCTGTCAGCTTGAATACATCAGGCTGTTTTAGCTTTCATGCCATAACGAACTCCTGAAAATGACAACAAATGGAGCTTACTTACATTAAGTAAGTGCCATCTTAATAGGCTTGTTGTTTGGGTTGATGACATGCAATTTCATGGTGTCTATAAAGCTAGGAATGTAACATCAACTATTAGATTGACATGATTTCTGCACATTCTGTTACTAGGACATACAGGTTATAGAATGCAGCACTGGCAAGAAAGAGTTTTGCAGGTAAATAATCTTGAGAAAGGAAGGAACAGTGAAAATTACATTTCAACTGACCTCCTAATCAAAAAGAATTAATAGTCCCAAAAAAGTAAAAGTCCTATGAATACTGAAATGTTTGTCAGGCATCCAAAGAATTTGAAAAACTAAAAAAAACCCAACAATGCAAGTAATTTTCCAAAGCTAGGTAAAATATGAAAAAGATCTGTATTCTCAAGTCTTTTCTTTGCTAAAGCCAGCTCTTAACTGATTGATATAAATTGGAAGAGACCTTTGGGATTGTATTTTGTAAGACTGTATCACAGAGACAAGGTTCATTTCTCAGAAACAGAGTTCAGATGGTGAGCTATGTATTACTTACTCCCTAAGACATGACATTAAGTGTATGAAAGATACCTAGAACAAATAAGGAGGTTTGCTATTATTAAGTGGAGTCTAATTTTGTGTATTGATTATTGGGTGGTATTTGTTTGTTTCTTTGGTTGGTTGGCTTTGTGTTTCCAATTTGGGCAAACAACAGCTTTAACCTTTTGTATTTTTTTTTTTTTGACATTCTTAAATTTCCAAGTGTAAGTTATGTCCCAGATAAACTTAAACAACTGGGGTGCACTGCTTCCTATAAATCAGTAAATCCCACTCAGTCAATTTGTTTCTTTAACACCTGAACACTTGTGTAACAATTGCAGTTATCATCTCTAAATGCTACTTGACCACTACTGATGTAGAGGCAGGAAGAAGTGCTTGGAGGAGATGCAAACTTGCATGGTCCCTTCATGGAGAAAGCTCCAGAAAGCAGCTGTGAGTGTCCACATCCACTATCATTGTCTCCTCTGAAAAAGTAGACTCCTCATTTTCTCAGTGAGCCCAACAGTTCTTGTCTGTTCCTGTTTCAGTTTGAATTTTGATTTGTTAAGTATCACACAAAATTGTACAGTGTATCTGTTGTGTACTATGCCATTAACACTGGACTGCTAGATACACTTTACATAATTCACCCTATGATCTTTTTCTCGGAACCACATAATTATTCTGTGATAGACTTATATTTCCAGCTCATGAGTTATGGCATCGTAACTGCTTGTTTATTAGTTTTCAATTTCATTGCATTCCAATATGTGAGCTCATCCAATTGTTTTTGTATTCTGGTCTGCCTCTGTTTTAATAAAGCCTCTGTTCAGGCCATCTACAAATTTCATTAGTACACACTTTTTTATTTCCAAGCTCATAATTAAAATAGTAAGTAAGATGAAATCTTAACTGTATCTAGCTGGAGCTATGACTGGGTCTTAACTGCACCTTCAGGATCTCCATTAGAATATTCTTTAGTTCTCCCTCTCCTGTGATCTATCTTATGCCTATTTACTTTCCCCATTTAGGACTTGAACAAACCCCCTTCTTCTTCTTCTTCATATGTAGTAGTAACATAACATATATCAGATGGTTTATTAAAGGAACTTACATTTAATCTTTGTTACCTCCGTCTAGAAAACAGTTTTCTTATGAAAAAGTGGTATATGCTAGCATGATCTCAGGAATCCTGATTTATGCAACTGACAGTTTTTTTCCCTTCCCTGTGCCATATGGTGTTCCTAAATGCCTTTTCCTTTCTCCTATCCTAGTTGGTATAAAAGTCAGCAAAATTGTTCCTGACCAGTTAGCACTAGGAAGACATCTTTAGGCCCAGAAATGGCCACTTCCAGCTGATTAGACTTTTGATGATGCATAGTAGAATTACAGACCAGGAAGCCAGCTGAAAGTGGTGCTAATATAGCTCAAAATTGGGACTATACTAGTGAAATAAACTCTCATGTTGCCATTTTTCATACCACATAGTGATCTGACATACAGGCTGGCAATAGCTTGTGCTGAACAGGAGTCACGCCTCAGTAGCCTTAGAGGCATTCTAGTCTCTTTGCTTCTCCACAAGAAGAAAGCCTCCTGAGATTGCCAACAGTGGCTTGTTTGTTTTCCTGTTTTCCTCCTTTGACCGATGTTTGAAAACATGTTTCAACTTACCACTTCTGTTTTCCAGGGTAGTTTAATCTAAACAGACAAGAGGAAATTCTTATCTCATATTTTCCCTGTTTATTTTAATGTATATTATGTAGACTGTTAGTATATATTAGTAAAACAAACAAAGAAATATTACTCACACTTACATTGTGAGTAATATTGGGAAAAAACAGTTACGTATGCTTGTCAGATGGATGTGTATTTATCATTGTCAAAAAACCTTTACTGCTGCTCTCATTTCTTATTTATGTTTCATGGAACAAGGAAAAAATTTTGAGGGACATTTGTTGGCTGTCACGAAGGAAGTATAATATTATTGATCATGTAGTCTTACAAAATTGTTGAATGTTCTCATCGATGACATGATTTTGTTCATTTTCCAATGTGATATTCATGATTAAGAAAATGACATGAAGTAAGTAAGTATGAAACCTTCAGGAAATGAAAAAGCAGTTAATATTTTCTTCTTTCAGCTGAGGCGGTAACACCAATTTTATTTTTTCTTTCTACTCTGTAATTTAAGAAATCACTGTTTTTAAATCCACAGCTAATGTGCTGACACAACACCAGTTTTATTTTGAGTTTGTGAAACACTGATAATAGGATAGAGACTAATCCTTGTGGAGTTTTATCTCTCCCAGTAAGACAATGTCTTTGACACACTCTGACCCCTGCTATGAAGGCCTACTGTGGAATAAAAACACAGCACCATGCTGAAAAGTAACAGCCCATCATGTAGCTGAGAGCATGACTCAACAACATGCTAATAAGCAGGTGTCTGTGTTGTTCATGCTGGCATGGAAGGCTTATGCATTTGCCCTCTGAACAATTTTCACTGCCTTCAATTCAGGTTATGACTGCAGCTGTGAAGGGGTGGGAAAGACAGTTTATCTGACCTCTGTACTGAAATTCTGTGCTGAAGCTTTGTGATTTTCCCAAGCAATGTAGAACTGGACTGCTGAACACAGGCTGCTTGCTTGTCATACATTTGTGTGGAGACGCAGATCCAGACTATGGAAGACAGAATTAATGACGAATATCCAAAATGCTTCATGATCCTATTGTCTCTTGGCTAAGCAGCCCAAATGGTACTGTTTAGAAGCATGGTCCTGTTGCATATGTTCAGGCAAGTCTTGGTTGTATAGGTGAGACCAATTTAAGAGATTTCCATCCTCTGCTGTGAGCTCCACAGCTTTTGTGAGTCTCTGGAAAAGTGTTCCAGAGGGTGAATTTGGAGTTCAGGCTGTGAACTAAAGCAGAAAATGTGCTGATTCGCATCTGCTACAGCTGACTCAGCTCCTGAAGTGCAGTGCACACAGCAAAGAGGACAATATTAAGTGTGAACTTCGTATATCTCCCTGACACAAATGACCAAAGCTCATTTGAAGGCATCTGAAGTGCGTTAGTTGCCAACTAGATCTTCTGACTTGTATTAAGGATGAAGTGGTACACACAGGAAAGGAGCCTTCTGTTTCCGTCTCTTTGGGAATACACAGCAAAACAAGGACTATTACTATACTTGTACTATACTTTGCCCATATCCCATCAGCAGAGCTTGTTTCCCAAGTTCAGTAGGATATAGTAGAGTTCGGGTTCAGAGAAGTGTGACTGGTGTGAGTAGAGGTATGTGATAGATTCCATATAGTTTAGTGGGTCTCAAAATGGCCTGAAAAACAGCCAAGTGGGAGTGATTGGGGATGTGGGTGTGTAAAAAGGAGTGACCTGGAGAACGATATTGGGGAGAGGCTGTTCACTCTCTCTTCCCAATGAAGAAGAGTTCAGTAGAAGGCATATTCAAAACAAAAAGAAAATGTGAGGTTTTTTCCACACAAGAGGAACTTAAACTGTGGAACTCCTGGCAGCTGGTTGTTGTGGCTGACAGAAGTGATCGCAGAATTTAAGTGGGTTACTAGATACTTCACAGTTGTGCCTAGTTCAGGAAATCCTGAAACCATAAATAGGTTGAGACTCTATCTGAGATATGTTACCAGATTAGGTAAACTCTGACTGAGAATATATATTTTTATGTTTCTAAAGTTCCAAGTTGTGAGAGCCTTGATGCTGTAAGAAAGGAATCGATTAAGTTTGTGAATGATTCCAACTGGGGGGTAGTGTCAGTACTCCTGACAGTGTTTAAGGCTGCCATTCAAATGGACCTGAATGGGCCAATAGGAACCTCATTAAATTCAACAATGATATATCCAAAGTCCTACATCTGGACAAGAAGGATACCCGACAATAATAAAGTGTGGTTTGGGTTCTTCCTGTACAAGAAGGACATGGGGAGACTGGAGTAAGTTCAGTTAAGGGCCATCAGGATGGCTGGAATATGTGGCCTTTGAGGAGAGACAGAGGGAGTGGAACAGGTTGCGCAGAGGGGTTGTGGTATATCCATTCTTGGAAGTTTTCAAGAGCAAAATGCACAAAGATCCAAGCAAATATTGTCTGAGTTCAGTGTTGCACCTGACTAGACAAACTCCCAAGATCCCTTGCCACTCGATATACCCTTTAATTCTATGAATTTTCAGCCAGATTAACTCTCTGATCTAGGTCATCACATGACTTCTGAGCAACAGTGTCTGTGTGAAGCAGGGAACAGGGCCACATTATCAAAGGAGGAGCTGAAGCTCGTCTGACTTGTGCTGTAGATCAGGACAGTGTTCTAAAGATGGAAAAAACCACTTGGAACAACACCACCTGCAACCTGATCTTGTAGAGAACAGGTCTGCTGCCTTCCTTGGACCTGAGTAAAGGTGCAATGAGATCTGTTATTGATTTTTCGTGTAGGAAACAGTGAAGTTCCAACAAGAAGTCCAAGGGCAATCAGGAGAGACTTCAGGGCCTTGGGACAACTGATTAAGGGATCAGAAGCACAAGTAGTGTTCTCTGTCCGCCCAGTTGCAGGAAATGATGGGGGAAGAAACTGGAAGAGCCAGCATGTCAGTAAGCTGGCTCTGAGCCTGGTGTACCTGACAGAATTTTGGGTTTTTTGATCATGGGTCGGTCTACATAGCACCAAACCTGTTGGCAACAGATGGGTTACACCTGTCTCAAAGGGGAAAATGATCTTTGCATAGGAGTTAGCAGAGCTAATTGAACCAGGCTCCCTACAGATAAGTCTGAGGGTGGTATGCCAATGTTTGAGGGATGGTCTGCTAGCGATGGTGTTCAGTACATGGACCACATTTGAAATGTCCTCATACAAATGTGTACAGCCTGAGGAATAAGAAAGAAGAGCTAGAAGCTTTGACCCTGTCTCAGAGCTATGACATCATTGGCTGAAGCAAAACCTGGTGGAATGAGCTCCATGGCTGTGATGGACAGGATGATTAGGCAGGGCAAACAATTCCAAAATATCAGAAGTCAAACAAGTAGTACAGAAGACTGGCTTGGATGAGCAGGGATTTTCTTCTAAAACTTAGGCAGAGGAGAAAAGTATATGGACATTGGAGACAAGGACAAGCAACATGGTAGGAGTATGGAGATTCTGTTCACCACTGTAGGGAAAAAATTCTCGTGGCCAAAACTTGATTAGATTTGTGAAGCACAACAAAAAGGGCTTTTTAACATATGTTAATAACAAAAAGAGAATCAGAAGTAATGTTGGTCTGTTGCTTTAATAGGGACACAGATAAAGTGGAGATGTTTAATGCCTCTTTTGCCTCTTTTTTCAACACTGATGATGGTCCCTGGAACCCCTGGAGCTCCGTGTTGGAAGGGTATGACTGGCAGATGCTGAACTCCCAGCCAATGATGAACTTGTTTGAGACTTCCTGCTCCAGATGGATATGCATAGATCTATAAAGCCTGATGGGATTCATCCCAGAGTACTGAAAGAGCTGGTTGATGTCATTGTAGGACCTCTCTCTTTTATTTTTCAATAATCTTGGGAGTCTGGAGAGGTCGCAGTCAACTGGAAGCTTTTCAAAAAGGGCAAGAAGGAAGAGCCTGGTAATTACAGGCCTGTCAACCTCACTTCAGAGTCTGGTAAAATTATAGAGAAGGTTATTCTGGGAGTTATTGAAAAGCACTTCAGAGACAATACAGTCATTGGTCACAGCCAGCACAGGTTCATGAGGGGAAAGACCAACTTAATTTCCTTTTATGACCCAGGGAAGCCAGTAGATATGGTGGTTTGAGATTTTAGCGAGGCTTTTGATACATCTCTCACAGTGTCCTTCTGAATACAATGTCCAGCATAGAGCATAGTAGTCCATAATAGGTTAGGTAAGCAATTGGCTCATGAGTCAACATGAAAGTTATAGTAAACGGGGTTACATCAGTCCCACAGCCAGTCACCAGTGGGGTTCTTCAGGGGTCAATTTTAGGGACAGTGCTCTTTAATGTTTTTATAAATAATCTGGATGCATGAATCAAATGTACATTAAGTTTGACAACTATACTGAATTAAAAGGAGCTGTGGTGTCCCCCAAGGGTCTGGAGAGTAGCCCAGAGTAAAGAGATCTGGGGATTTGGTTTGATGGCAAGTTGAATATGAGTCAGCAGTGCCCTGGCAGCCAAAAGGGCCAACTGTGTCCTGGGTTGCATCAAGCGCAGCATTGCCAGGTGGTCAAGGGTGGTCATTTTCCTTCTCAATGCTGCAAATGTGTAGCCTCCACACTATTGTGTGCAGTTTTGGGTGCCTCGATATAAGAAGGACATAAAAGTATTAGAGAGTGTCCAGACAAGGGTGACCAGCATGCTGAAAGATCTTGAGGGCAAGACTTAGGAGAAGCAGGTCACTTGACTTGTTTGGCCTGGAGAAGAGAAAGCTGAGAGGTGACTTCATGGCAATCTACAACTTTGTCAAGGCAGCCAGCGGAGAGGCAGATGCTCATCTCTCTGCTGACCAGAGATAGGACACAAGGAAATGGAATGAAGCTGTGTCAGGGGGAGTTCAGATTGGAATTAGGAAAAGGTTCTTCACAGAGGGATTGATTGGTCACTGGAACAGGCTTTCCTGAGGGAAGTGGTCACAGCACTGAGCCTGTCAGAGTTCAAGGAGTGACTGGTTGATGCTCTTAGTCGTATGGTTCAGTTTTAGGTAGTCCTGTGAGGAGCAGAGAGTTGCATGCAATGATCCTTATGGGTCCTTTCCAATTTGGGATATTCTATAATTCTGTGAATACTTTACCATTGGAAATGGTGTCTTCCAGGATGCTATAAAGTACTTAGTTTTTAGTGCAATGTTTATAAAAATTACTGGATAGAGTCACCTGGAGTTCTCATTATTTCATAATTTTTTGTGCTGTATTTTCCCCCTGTAGGTGCAGAGACCTTTGGAAGAAATGGTGAGAATGGAGAGGGTAACACCTGCTCAAAGAAGCTTTTGCTGCCCCGAAAAGGCTTTAACGTGGGAAAGAATTCATTCTCATGCAGGATGCTGTGTATCTTTGTCTGCCGAGAGGTAACTCCCTTGCTACAAGTGATAACATTGTCACAGACATGCCTAGGGGCCCCTGCAGGGGGGGGCAGGCAGGCCGTAGAGCACAGGGGGAGAACACAGCCTTGGGTTTTATTGCACATACAAAAGGTGGTGTTATAAAAGCACCAAAGTGGGTTTCCACTTTCGCCTTTTGTCTTTTCGGCCACAGCCTGGTGCCTGGGGTTACCTGTGTGCATATCAAGCCTTACACCCCTCTCCTTTTCAAACGTGTTTCAACAGCATCTAGATTAAGACCTGCAAAAAAGTTTTTCACATGCCTCTAGCTCTGCTTAGCTAATCTGTTATCACAGTAAATCGAAGAAGTGGAAGAAGTGCAGCAGAACTAAGTGTAACTCTCAGTGCTGCTACACGTGAAAGTAGATTGTCATCATCATGGCTAGGCTTTGCGAACGGAGATTTGGGAAGGGCTCTACCTACGTTTGTTACAAGCACGCTGGTGGCTAAAAAGGCCGATACGAGACAGGCTCACCATATGTTTTTGATAATCGGGGATGAAACTAATCTTTTATGCAATTCTAGTGAAACCAGTAGTTAATATGGTCCATCTAATATTAAATGGAATAAAATTTAGGAATTGATTATAAGGAAGAAGTTAAATGGCAGATGGGAGACTTGAGAGTGCTAAAGATTAACCCATTTGCATTTCAGTTGTTTGAAGTTGGATTCTAATTTCTCTTTCATTAAGGCAGGGATAGAATATATTTGAATCATCACAATACAGTGAAACCTATCAGAAGAGTAAGCAACTCTGTCAGAATGTTCAAAACATAACAAAACAAGATAAAAGGGTGCTCTGCAGTTGGGTGAGCTACAGATACAGAGATCACTTAGTAGGGATTTGCAATATGAACTGGATTTGTTATGCAATAACCCAGTGGATGTGAAAATTTAAAGTGACGTATAGATCTGCTGGAAAAGCTGTAGAGATCCACAGACTGGAAAATACTGAAGCCCACAGACAGATAACAGGCCTGTTATTTAACATTTATAAGACATCTTAAAGTTTTAGATTAAAGATTGTTTTGTACTGTGCTGGTTTAAAGGTAAACCAGCAGGGGAAATGAACTCAACTCAAAAGAGAGATTATAAATCAGAATAACAATTTAATAAAATAATACAATAAGTATGATTATACAGACAAACAATTGGTTTTAACCCACAAAACCCAAATGCATAACCCAGCACCCTGGGGCACGAACAGAGTGGTGTTCTTTGGGCCCCCTGAGTCCAAAGTAAAGAGAGAGGGGAAAAACCTGTTGGTGAGAGTGCTGTTGCAGTCTGGTCAAGAGTGATGATTGCAGTTTGGTCGAGGGTGGTGGTTACAGTCCGGTTGAAGAGTGGTGGTTGCAGTCCAGTTGAGAGTGGTGGTCTCAGTCTGGCTGAGAAGGGTGATCTGCAGTTTGGTTGAGAGTGGTGGTCTGCAGTCTTCCTCTGGATCCCAGGAGTGATTAAAAAAGTTCCAAGACTCCAAGATTATATATCCTCCAGTTCAGGCAGGAATGCCCAGCACTTTCCTCAGGGTGGGGAGCTCCACAAAGGGTGTGAGGACAAGAGCATTCTCCTGTCTCACAGGCCTCTTAACACCTAGTTTATAGCCTGAGCAGTCAGGCTCTGTGGGCAGATGGTGTAAATGGTTCATTGATAACAGTTTCTGGGAAATGGCATGGAAGGCTATAGAATACACAGTTTTGGGTTACACTCATACAATGATGAACTGGTCCCAGCCGTTCTAACTAGGACATGTACAAAGTCCAAGAATGGGATTATCTTGAGGTGGTTATCTAACTACTTTAGTTTCTGTATTCTTTCAGATAATGCAGTTCTGATATAGTGCAACACAAAGCTAGACACTATATGAACTAAGAGATTACCTTGTTCTTGCTGTATTATATTAATTTGCCACGTGTATATTGCATTTCCATATGCTTGTTGATAAAGTTGAAAAAAAACCTATTCTTTTGTGAAGCCCAGCAGCTCTACATAACATTTCCAAAACTGATTTCTGTTCATCTAGTTGAAGTTTTCACATCAGTTTTTGTTGGCTGGAAATTAGGGCCCGAGACTCACAAGCATATGACTAGCTGTAAAAACACTTTTGGCATGAGTAGTAGGCTCCAGACCAATGATTAGCCTTTTTATGATAATTTTGGGTGCCTAACTTTGTGTGGCTACTATACAGAACATTTTTGTTGATAAAGTATGGATCTATAGAGCAGTCATTATAGAACACATCTGTTAATTTGTAGCACAGCAGCTTGTTCAATAGCTGCCAGAAAGAAACTGCTCTTACCTAGGAGCAAGTGAATGATTGATTACTCTTTCTCACTGACCCTCGAGAAAAGTATGTACATGAGTTGTTACAGCCGAATGACAAATTCATTGCTTGCTTATGGCCTATGTTAACTTCTTTTATCTTGGTAAGTTGCTGATAGTCTTAGAAAATGTCATCTACCTCTGAAACAAGACTCATAGGGAAGTTTGGATTGAACATCTCAAACTGTTAATTGGTTTGGGAAAATGAGACCTACACCTAACATTTTCAAAAATGGCAAAACATTGGGGCGAAGAAATAGCTTGTTGCACTTTCATGTAGGACTTGCAGATAGTAGCAAAATTGTGTCAGACAAAAAGGAAGTTAATATATTACTAGGAAAAAAGTTGCATCACTATACTTGCTTGAATAAAAAGTACTATATAAAGTCTCAAATGGGATTGTAAAAGGATTCATGCTCTAGGAATATAGTCAGTGATGTGGAATTCATCTGCTTTGCCTTCCGGTTGGAACAAGGAGTTCTTACTGGCAATGTATTGGATTATAAAAAGGATTTTAATGTCTCTTAAGGCTGAGGAAGAGACAAAGTGTTCTTACAGAAAGAAACTTCAGGAGTGGCAAAGCTCAGGAAAAACAATAGGATGAATGAGGTCAGTGTATTTTTGAGTGAAGTCTATGTCTTTTTCACTTCATATAAGGGAAACACTTTGAATCCTGTATGTGTATGTCTTATTAGAAGCATAGAAAAATTATTACTGGGATGATATATGCTTCTTTCCAGCAGTTTAACAAGTCTACTACAAATTAGACTCATCATAATTCTCAGTATAATAAATGTTAAGGGCATTTTGAATTTCACAACACTACTAAGGATAACATTTGCCTCCCGTTGTTTGAAATGCACAGACCTTAAGTATTTGGGCACACAGTTTTCATGCAGTACATCCATGATAAAATATCTTTGAAGGTGAAACAGGCTTAAAAAATTATCCCTTCTGTACACACATGGTAATGCCATTGTTGTTTACTGTCCCCTCTTAGTGGCAGTAAGCTGTCAGATTTTCATGATGCATAGTTGGCTATATTCAGGTTGGTGGGTCTTCTCCTCCAAGACGAATTTTTTTGAACAATGTTGCTTCATTTTAGTAATCTGATTGAGAAAAATAGGTGGGACCCAAAGGAACTCTTGAGGATGAGAAACTTCTTAAGCATGCTTCCTTGTTAAAAGACAGCATATTATCAACTTCAGCCTCAGTTTTGACAGCGATGTTATCCATGGCTTCTCTTCTTTCCATTTTCCAGTGATAATCCTTGCTTTTTCTGGAGTGTGACCTTATGTTGTATGAGAAAAGAATTCAGGACTTTATTAATATCTGGCCTCAGAGAGTAAAAGGAAATCATGTCCAAGTCCCAGACTTGTCTGTGGTCATAACATCAGGATCACTACACCCTGACTATGAAGCCAGGCTATGGTATGTATTGCTGCAAAAGTTATGTTTGATTGCTGAACATAGGAAATGTACGTATTTGATGGGGAGGGGGCAGGGTGGAGCAAGAATGAAGAAAAAAACTTCTATTTGCTAGTAAACAAGTATATAGAGTTTTAGAAAATTAGGTTGTATCCATCACATCACAAGAAAGAAGCACTGCAGAAGATGATCTTTACATGAATCAAGGCTGATCAATGCTTCTGGTTACAAAGAGAAAATCAGAAACATAATTAAACTGAAATGTTGCAGGGAAAGCAGTTTCTTCATTTATAAAAAATATTCTTACATCACTTTTCAATCTCAGCTGAATTTCAAAAGCCACCTAAAAACGAAACACAGCTAGCAATTTTTGTAGTAGTTTTATTTTACATCATAGGAACGTTACTCTTGCTTTCTTGATCTGAAAGTAGGCTATCTGACCAACAAAGACATTATTTACTAAATTCAAGGCTGTGGCAGGATAGACCCACCCTGATAAGACCTATAATCCAATCAGGCAATCATGCAAGCTGTCATGAAAGATCAACTGCTGGAACCAGGTGTTGTCTTGGTGTTAATTACACTAAAACCATCCTAGTTCACCAGACTTCAAATCAGATAAGCTGGTAGCTGGCCTGTGAATGTGTGACTAGCAGTCAATCACTTTATACTATAAAAGTTCAGTCCTCTCTCATGCAGTCAGGTCTTCTGACATAACCTTTCTTGGGGTGTATGTGTGGAGATTCCTCCCTTGGCTGGGGTTGCCCTCCAAGGATATTCCTCGAGGCTGAGTGAAAGAAATCTCCCCACGAGCGTTGATATGGGTGAGTTACATGAGATCTCTACTTAATAGTTATTTCTTTTTGCTAGCTTCAATATAATTGTTTCAATAATTGCTTTGTTACAGTGTACTATACTACTTTATGCTATATTATACTCTACTAGTAGATTTATAGTGTTCATGTTGTGTAGTAAATAATTCTGATTAAGATCTTTTGTCTGTTCACCTGTTTGTTAATTTGTCATAATAGATAATTCATTTATATATTTAGATATATTTAGATATATTCATTAGGGGGCCTCTGGTGGTCTAGTGGTTAGGGTGCAGGACTCTCACCACTGTGACCCGGGTTCGATTCCCGGCCCCCCGGGCAGATGGAGCTCGTTAGCCCTATAAGGCAATCCATCTAAGAGAAGGTCACTCTAAACAAACCTACGTCCTGAGACCCTCACTGCCACTGTCCAAGCTTGCTCGGCCCCGGCAGATGAACCTCAGGATTAAAGGGTGGGCTCAGTTCAGCGCACGCTGTGTCTCACCTAAAAAATCCACTGCGCAGGCTCGAAGGGTTAATGACCTTTCCCAAATCTTCGCTCGCGAAGACTGGCCATTAATATTCATTAAAACCTGCGGGGCCAAGTGGTTTAATCATACCTCTATAATTCCTTAAATTTAAACCATTAACACAGTCCAAGGCTAAGATAGGATTCAGCTGCACCTAAACTCTTCTCTGAGAAGGGGTTTAGAAAGCAAGGGAGTCCTTTCTATATCTCGAGACTCTCCGGCAAGGCTTTGCTTTGTAATAATTTTCTCTAAACCTTCCACTCCCACACACGACAAAGGGTAACCAAAGTGTTTCATAGATAATGACCAAAGGGTTTAATTTCTGAATATAAACAGATATGGAAAAAGTAGCATGGAGTTCATGTAAATGTTTTTACTTTTTAATGTGAGAAACCTGCAATGATATATATTCAAGCTGTCGGGAGAGGCTTCTGTTTTCTTAGTCTGATTTAATCCTTCCTACTTCTCTGAAGCATAGGAATGCTGTAATAATTAATTAGTTAGGGTTTGTTCCTTGCTTTTTTCCTAGGTGCCCTTATGTCCTGTAATATGCAGCAGAAACATTTCAACTCAAGTTTCATTGTTTCAAGAGGCTGTAATTTATTGCAATAAAATGGTGCAGCTCTGCTGTTTTGACCAGGAGGTCAGTCTGAGTGTGGAGTAAACAGGATGGAGTTGTACGTATTTTTAATGAGAGAGCTTTACTCTCTCATCAACAGTAGTTGCAATAGAGAAAGAGGAAGCAGAGAGAGCAAGACAGTTTCAGTGAAATGAGAGGAGTAGCAGGGAAGGAACACGGCTGAGGTCCAGGTAAGATTGCTAGGAAGGAAGCAGGTCTTTGACAATGACATTTGACTACTACAGTGCTTGGCAAACATTAAAAAAAGAAAAATCTTTAGGGAAAAAGTAACGTTACTAGAATCATCAGCCATATAATTCACTTACTGAATTGGCCAACCACATTTACAAAGCAAAACCACTGCTTATTGACTGCATGAGTTCTCATAGAATGGCCTTGGTTGGAAGGGACCTTAAAGATCATCTAGTTCCAAACCCCCTCTGTGGGCAGGGACACCTTCCACTAGATCAGGTTCATCAGAGTTCCATCCAGCCTGCCTTAAATGCCTATTACACAAAGGAGATAAAATAGGACTATTTATAGTAATGGAAATGAAAAGTATTAAACTGTGTGTGCTAGTATTGCCAGGAACCAGCAATCACGCCCTGGATGCTTCCTGCCCACCAGCAACACCACCTCTCTCTCTCACCTGAAAAGAGGTCTCTGCTCACAGTAATGTATACCTTAGGTCTAAACTGAATCTGTCCTTAAACAAACATTGTAGCTGTACACTGTAAGTAAGTAGGGATTTGTACAAACAATAAAAAACTCCATCCAAACTCAGAAATCAACCAAAAATTTTAGTGTTGCTTCCTGACAGAGTAGACTATCCTCCACTGCCAGAATGTTGAGTGTACTTTCCTTTTACGCACTGTCATAACACAGCCCTTACTGCTGTTTTGACCTCACCATTGTCCTGCCTTTTCCCTCTTGAAAAACAAATGGAAAAAAAAAAGCGTGGAAACTTCACTTTGGACCTGGAACAGCAGCTGCAGAAATGCCAGTATCTGCAGAAATGCCAGCAGCTGACTGGGGCATTAGAAGAGGAAGGTGTGGGAGTGAGGAGGTCAGTTCTAGAGCATTCAGTCTTCTTGCCCAGGCTGTTTCTGTGGACTCAAGAGAAAATAGCAGCTTGCAGCTGTCCACATCATGTGAACAAAAAGTGAGACGCTTGTGGTGAGTGTATCCACTTGTGGTGAGTGTATCTGTAGTTAGGTAGAAAACTGTAGCCCTAGGCATAGCTCAACACTATGGGACAGTTCTAATCTTTCACTCTGAATAAAGACTGGGAGTGAAACAAAGTGGGACATTACCGTGCTGGATTTTGCTTCTGTCTAGACAGAGCTCTCTTGGGGTTTAGACTCTTTCTCAACTTTCCCCAGTTTCACAAATAACCTCTTTTTTTACGTACTGACACAATGTGGTCAGCGTGGCTGGTGAAAGACAGGAGCATATGGGACAGTAAAGTGAATCAACTATTCTGTGAGGTATAGACAAAAAGGGGTCTCGAAAGGCAATAGGAAGGCCCTTCTGCACATTAGATATCTGTGAAAGAGATTCCTTGTAAAAGGACACCTAACTCCATAGGGTTAAGTCAGGACTTGCTTCATGGATGCAGAAAGCACATAGTGATCTGGAGCACCATGGCTGGGCTGGTCATCAAGAGCAAGTGTTGGCTAACATTCTAGGTCTTCCCAAGAAGCAGAGCATCGTAACCATTTTTGGTTTTATTTAGATAGTCTCTGTTCCTACAGAGATTGTTTGTTATGATATATGACTTTGCTGGGTATGTTCCAGCTGTTATCTTGGAGACTTGCCAGTGACTGTTTTAATATTCTGACACGCTGTTCCACTTCCAGTGAGGATGGCAGACTGATATAGATATTGAAGTATTTCCTCTGTTTATTTTTCTGGCTCTTTTTAACTTATTCAGGGTTACCAGACTTTAAGAAACATAGTAGGTGTTGGCACAATGGTCCTAATACAGTTCTATAGAATGTATTGAGTATTTTAACTTTTCTATATGTGAAATTATTAGCTCTTCTATATTTGTGTTTATTTTTATGTGATTTGTTTATTTATTTTAATTTTTACTTATCTGACAGGTTAGGATAATTTTCAGGATCCAGATTATGAAAGTTCAGCAGATTTCCAGGAACCAAATAGAAAATAAGATGCCATCTGCTGTTTTAAAGCATTTTTTTCTGTCAGATTCT